TAAAATTAATGTATTTCTCTTGAGTATTAACCTATTATTATTCTTATAAAAATGAATAATTCCAGCAAATACAGTTTATGATCTGATCTCAATTAAGAATCGTTGGAGTTTTTATGTAAGCAAAATTTCATGATACTTGATTAGCGATCAGTTAGTTTCCTACTTTATACTTTGAGATGTTAATTAAGATTAGTTGAGAAATATATTTGGTCTCTTTAGTATTATTTATTAATAGATTTTTATTACCTAAAATTAAATTGATTTGGTTTTGGGATATTTTTATTCTAGTATACTTTGTTACAGAAACAAACACAGAGGGAACTTGTAAAGAATTTTTATTTGAACCAGAGAATTTTAGAGAATTGGAGTTGATACTAATCTTGTTTTTTAAAAGCATACGATAGAGATATTTCATGCAAAATTATTGAATTTAGAAAGTTTTGGATTGCTTTCCAGCTGCAAGATTTGAAAAACCTTTTATTCTTATAAAATTATTAGGAAGCGAGTATTTTGGAGAGCCATAAATCAGGAACCCTCAAGTTGAGATTCACAAGAGATTTGATGAGCAAAGAAATCTTAATTCAATAAAAGAGAAAAAGTTTTACAAAATTCTGAGTGACAAATTTTTTGAATTCTTCTCTAATAGAATAAATTCTTAAGTAATTAATATAAAACTAATACTTCTGAATTATAATAACTTGTAAAATCAAGGAGTTTTACTCCTTAAATTAAAATAAATTTGAGCAATTCCCATCTTTGAAATTCTGTAGGTTTATCTAAAGCAAGTTATTCTTGATGGTTGTGAATAATACATTAAACTACTATATTCCCTACTTTTTCAAAATTCAAAAAATGATTAAGAATTTCAATAAACTGCCATTAATAAATTAAAATAAGGATAAAAGTTTGCGTTTTGCATTTAATTTCTAAGGTTTTTAATTTTTTATGGAATCCAAAACAGGATTGTCCAATAGGATGTCCTACTGAGGCTAACACAGAATAAAATTCCAATATAGGAAAGTGGTATAATTATAAACCAAGAATTTGGGTTTATTTCTGGAAGAAAAATCAAATAATTCAAATTTATTAGAAATAGGATCTTAAGATAATTAAAGACAAAAATATGTCAATAACAAAGTCAATAATAATCTTTCGACATATGTCAAAGAAATTAGACTAATTTTTTAAAATAATCGAAAAATATACAAATTTAATCATATTCTGAACATATTAGAAAATTAAGTTTGAAAATTTTAATATTATTGATTGTTAGTTCTTCTGTTTAATTTGGAAAGTGAAATTAAATTTGATGCTTTAGTTATCAAAGATAGAAGGAAGTAAAAAGACAATTTTAATTCCAATAAGTTTTACTTTGGGGTTGTTGAACAAAAAGAAAATGATTTATTAGAATAAGAAATACTTTATTATTCGTGAATGAATCTTTTAAATCACAACAATTTATAAGCAAGACTTAAATCATGCCGTGATATAATTCCTTTTCATTAATTCTAAACCATTTAATAATTGTAATCACTTTATGGCTTTTCTAAAATCAGTAAGCACTCCATTAATTTATCTGAAAATTTTTTAATTAAAATGAAATTCCATTTAGGGACTTAGTTCAGTTTAAAAAATGGAATACCCTTATAATTTTCTCCAGAGTGAAAATTGAAAAAATGAAAAAGGCATCAGATACAGAATCTAGTTATAATCTAAATATCTCATGTTGTTTAAATATAAGAAGAAATTCTTCATATATATGCAAAATTTATCCATAACTCCTGATAGGAATAGTGATCCAGATTTGTGTATTTAAGTAGTTTGTAAGGGTTTAAACAAACAGCACAAGCGATTTTAATAAAAGAAAATTATGAATTTTAATTAGATTGACTTATTTTAATTTATAAAGAGGAATCCACTTCAACCTTAACACTTATAGAAGGGTTTGTGGCATTTTAAATATTTCATAGGCTAAATGATTTTGCTAATATAATTATTTATCTTGATTATTACTTCCATAAATTGGACCTAAAGCACAACAATAAGGCTATTTTATGAGAAAAATTATAATGATAAAGAACAAAGCTTTATATTTGTAATCACTTTTATTACAATTCTTATCTATTTAATCTACAAATTGCAATTATTTATAGCTTTGAAATAATAAAATATAGGAGAATCTAAATTTACATAGACATACAGTAACCGAATCAAATTTCCTATTAATTCAAAATATTTAATTGCATTTATTAAATTACATTTTGGTAACTAGATCAATATTAAATTTGCAGCTTAGCACAAATAATACAATCAATACGTGAATTTTATTTCTCAATTATAAATTCCCTCTATCATACGCGTTAAACTATCAATTATCCTTCTTAATGTTCAATATTATCAAGCACTTGTGACACATCAAATCATAATCATCAGAGAAAACATTAATTCTTTATCCATTTTAAACTTAAAATTAATTTAAAATTTAAACTCCCACCTAGAGTGACTCTTCAAAATCAAAATTTTATTTTAAGAGCTTGATGATGGATCAACTGCTCAGATTTTGGAATAATTTATGTGTATCTTTGCAAAAATAAATTGCTCTTCAAAAATATTTTTTCTTATTAAAATAAATTTGACCTAAATTGGGATTAAAGTGATATATATTTAGGGAAATATAATCATAAATCATACTCAATAACATTTAAATTTACTGTAAAACAAAGTTTATTTGCATGTAAGTGATTTGTCATTTTTAATATTATTAATAATAGATATTTTATAATGTATTTATAATTTTAAATCTATCATTAGGAAAGGTTATGTTTGATCAAAAAATACAGATCAATCTTAATGGAAGTACATAAGAAACACAGTTTGATTATTTCAATGACCTTCCTTATACAAATTCAAAAAATTATCATGATGTTAATTTGTTTTAAATTCCATAATATAATTAAATGACTTTACATTTTTTGAATAAGTGGAATATTATGTAAATTTCATAATTGATTTAAATTAAATATTAAGGGCAAATACAATATGTTTCTTCATATACCATTTGTTGTTTTAAACCTTGAGAGGATTATAACAAACTAAAATTTATTTTAATATATATCCAAATAATATATACTCTCATTATTCTGCATATTTCCTGATTTTAATTTAATTTGATTGAGAATCCCAAGTAATCAAATACTCTCCATCATCACTCATCTACCCAAAAATATAATATGAATCAAATTGAATAGATTACTCAACTATAAATTGGTCAACTTCTGTTTTTCTGATTAAATTTATGCTATTACCATGTTTACTAACTAATAATTATTTTTATTTCAGAAATTATTATGG